AATCTCTCCGCAGGATCGTCGGTCATTTGCAGTCCGGGATTGGGTCATCCCCCCACGCCACGCGGGACGGTGGGTACCGCACACCCGGACGCGGTGCGTTCTCCGCAGCGCCGAGATGACTCTCGCGATTAGGAAATGCAAGCTGAAGCCAGAAGTCTACCCCGTGGCCAGTGACTTAGTTACAATCGCTGCAGATGTTCAGCATATTTGCAATACCTCGAAGACAGGTTGTATGACAGCACACCTCTGGTATCTTTTCTGATTCATCTTTAAACGAACTAAGAATGACAGTACACCTCTGGTATCTTTTCTGATTCATCTTTAAACGAACTAAGAATGACAGTACACCTCTGGTATCTTTTCTGATTCATCTTTAAAGGAACTAAGAATAACTCCTCGAGGGTAAACGCGCGTCATGCAAATGCACGATGCTATGACCCAGTGCAAAGGACGAAAGCGATCTACGATCGCCACATTAATATTTAACAACTCAATACAAGGGCATGGTGACGACAGCTGAGATTGGCAAGCACAAGCATGAATTGTAAAAAGTGAGTGGAATTAGGATGCAAGAAAGCAGTACAGAAAGTCTTTAGAATTGTCTCTAGATAGTCTCCCACGAAGCACTAACTTCCTGCCATATGTAAAAACACTCTGTAACACATGCTTCCTAGATAAGGACTTCATTATATTATTCAAAGTCAAGGTATGAATTCGTGTAATAATGGACAACGTTCAGCCCTTTGTGAATCCATTGCTGGATGAAGGCGCCACCATCCCCCTCCATCCTGCTACTTAACAATCCATCGAGCACCGTGCACACGAGTCTACCTCATCGCTCCATCTCCTCAGTGTACGTCATCTCGGACGCAATCCCTTTCCCTGGCTGCCAGCCCATCGTGTTGACCTTTGGCAATCACCGTGCCTTCTGGCGACTTAACCTGCCCGAGCCACGCTTAGCTGCTTGAATTTAAAAAAAATTCTTAAACGGAAGTTAAATAAAATATTTCCACACTTTTCTCAATAGTTTGAATAATGCCTCCGAATGATGATCTGGATATCAATGTGTCCATCGTTCCGTCTAAAAGTACTTCCCAAAGTAATAATTGTGATCACGGAAATAATTGTAAATATTTGAACAGGATAATCGCGCCCCATTCAAAAGACGAATTTAGACGAACAGAAATTAAATGCGACATGAAAATTAATATCATCCATGTGCTTATGAAGAAGGGCCATTGACCAAAAAGCTGCCTACTATATGTTGTCCTCTTAAAGCCACAGTCGTATTTGACGAATGCGAGTTGTTTTGTTCACAAAGTCAGTGCTGTCGACCTGGTCAATCGAGCAATGGGACACGCTGCTTCCTTCTGGCGGTACTGAAGCTAGTGGAGGCAATTCCATATTCCCATAGCAGAGGGCCAGACAGTACATTATGCACGTGTAAAGAAGTACTCAACAACTGAGTACTTATCTCCAAATACATATGTTGTACACAAACACACTCCCCTTTGAGCAAATCACCCAGAATGCCCGCCAATCTCATCGGCTGTCATAAGCTAAGCTAAGGGGCTGAGAGCCTGGATAGTGCTTGGATGGGTGACCCACCATGCATACAAACAGGTGTAGTGCGTCGGTGCAGGCCATAATTGTCAGCAGAGGGCAGTGCAGAAAAATCCACTGTGTTGTGCTGTACTATGCAGCTGGAGTCTATACTCTCTACAATTACACTGGTCAACACACTTTTTCTGGCATAAGGTATTCCAACGGTTTTAAGATAATTTCGGGGTGCCGATTCCAAATCTGGCATCAGTTTTTGTCTATCACATCAGCTTTTTGAGATATCAAATATTGCATTTTCAATAAAACTGCAGAAGAAAAATATTAAATAAATGTGGATATCTACATAAAATGATATTATAAACACACTATCCTAAAAATACAGCACCATATTTTAACACTAAAGCAGTCACTGACTCGCAACAACTTGCAATCATAAGTGACAGAGTTAATTTCGGGTAAAATCAATGAAAATGGGGTATGCCAATAGCATAAAAATGAGATGTGATAGAGCAAATCTGAGACCAGATTTGGAATCAGCACCCTGAAATTAGTCTAAACAGCTGCAAAAGCCCAGGCCAGAATTTTTTTTTTGTTGACCAGTGAATTATCAACCAGCACCGACCAGCCCGTTCAAGTGCGGTCAAATAATCAACGACCCGTACGGCGTGCGGAGACCCTCATCCAGCAGTGGATTGACAAGAGTGCTCTACAAGTACGTGTTACAAAGACAAAATTAAGAACCTCCATGGAGGTAGTCTTTGACAGACCGTTGGGGTGGGAATTGAACTTAGGTCACCGGGTTCGTGGTGCAGTGCGCTAACCGCTGCACTTCCGCTCTCTCCCGTGTTACAAACAAAGACAAAGTTCGCCCGTAGCCTTAACAGACTGTTAGGGGCAAGTGCTGTTAGCGAGCACCTACCGCTCCCCACTATCCCGTATTATGCACACATGTAAGCAAACGTGTATAATTCATAAGAACCCAATGTACACAATCAGACACGTGTACAGAAAGGGGCATTTAAATACCTGCGCGCATGTCTAAAATACAAACACACATTCGCATGCATACACACACAGACACAAAAGGAAACACAAATTAAAACAAATCTGCACTAACCAGCATGGTGAGTTATGGTAAAAAAAAAGCTACATGACTGACACAGCAAGGAGAAGCCGCTATCCAGCAGTGGATTGATAAAGGGCTGAACATTTCTACTATATCAATATCACTCTAAATTACAATTGTTATACTACGCAATTGGGATTATGAACATAAACCATCACGCCCGGCTGGCAGACTCCAGGTTAATGTCCCGGTCTCTGGAGTGCTCACCTGGCTACCGCAATGAACTTGAAACTCGCACTCACTCAATCATTTACCCACTCACTCATCATCATCATCTCACTCACCCACTCACTCAGTGACTCACTCGTTCATTCACTCATTAGGTCGCGCTCGCACACGAGTCTCATCCTGGTCTCCTTGAGTGCTCACCTGGATAATTATCAAAATAAACTGGAGGCTACCGTACTTTATCCTGATGAAAATCCAAAGCGCTGACCCTGCACGGTGAAGTAGGTTCAACAATCCCCGTGACCAACACGCAGCTTTGTCCAGGTAGTGGATTGAAAAAGGATTGAAAGTCATTAACCGTCGACATGAATAAAAACCAAACGTATAAAAACACTCAGACTTCATAGAACTTGTGAGAAATCAGCACGTCGAGGGGCAGGACATGTTCGCACCAACAGACATTACCAGGAAACAATAAGTGATGACGATGATGAATAAGTGATGATGATGATGAAACAATAAGGACATTTCAATATTTCGAAGATGACAGTCATCTAACAACACAACCATCTCTATGACACACGCCCCACTAGCAGCATAAACACGTACACGAGTCTTAAAAAGAAGCCGGTAAATGAGGCCGACGTATAAAAGTGAATTAATGAGAGCGACGCACACCCAGTAAACCTGCAACAACGTTCAGCCAACATTGGCACGTGGTCACAACAATCGGTCCAACGTTGTTCACCCAACGTTTCACGTTTGCTGGGCAATGACCTGCTGTTTTGCCGCATGTAATTAAATAAGTAATATATATACTAAAAAAAAAGTTTTTTTAAACACGCTTTAATGAAATGTACCGTACTAGTAATGGAAGAACTCCACGACTCCTGTAAGTGGCCTCGAAGCTTGCCATAACGTAAGGGACCGTGGCCATTTACAGCCAACGTCAGTTTTACCGTGGACAATTCGACACAAGCCGAAACATAACATATAAAAAATAATGTTTTTAATTTTTATGATAAAATATAGTATTGTCACCAGTATGACATAAGTATACCAAGTTTGCAGTCGATACCACATTGGGAAGTGGGTAAAAATTGAGTTACAATATTTGAGGATACAACAACAGACAACAACAGTTAAATAAAAGCGTGTAATAAAAACTAAAGCCGAACGATGCTGTTAGGGTGCCGTGGTGGCTATGAGATGTTAACTACCTCGCCTGGTATTCAGGAGATCGTGGGTTCGATCCCGACCCTGACAACCTGCATATTTGAAGTTTGCGTGTTCTCCTCGTGGTCGTGGAGATTTTTCTCCGGGTCCTCTGGCTTTTCTCTCCACGTTTATAATCAACAAGCACACGTTTACGGTATTTGGCTGCTATAAATTCCCACATGATGATGATAAACCGCTTTGTTGAGCTATCATTTGTGGCCAGGTCACTTCTGAAAAAGAGCTATATAACTCAGTGGGGCCTGACCTGGTCAAATAAAAAAGTTACATTTAGTTTAGACTTGCAATCGGAAGGATACGAGTCCCAATCCCAGTCAGGGGTTGACTCGTTCCATGAGTTGTTTCTCTGGAGACCTGGAGATCGCTGATCGATGTCCGTTCACCGAGATGATGGCACTAATAATTTGTGACTTCTCACTCAACAGTGGGCCGTGTGAAGGCTGCAATCCTCTAGCCCCTATCAGCTCCCCCCCCCCCCCCCCCCCCCCCCCGGTATCTTGTGATGTGAAATACCCCTCCCACAGGAATGTGGATTGTCCACCACCAATCCGGTCAAAACGGAGGCTGTAAATGAAGATGAGTATCACAACACCATCGTTTGAGCGTAAGGTCATTTGGACTTCAACTTTTAGAATACGATTAGTAATTATTACATATTTTTACTATCTATGGAGGAGGCTTGCTTTTTAAAATAACAGCGACACACAATGACCAGCTGCTGTTGCACGTCGCGTCACAGAATCGTCAGACAATTCGCCTTTGCAACCGAAATGTTGCACGCAATTAGGTGGCGTTCCTGTCCGAAATTACCAAAACGAGCGCTGCGCTGTTGTGTGCTCACCGCACGGTTCCACCACCGAACCAACAAACAAACAAACGATTTAGACCGGACGCAGAGGGCTTTTACCTGTGCACTTTGGTCCCACGACTGCAGCAGGACCTCCCAGGGGGCCTGGTATTTAAGTTTGGGTAGAGACATCTCCGTCGTGAGCAGCGCCCCGCCTCTCACAACGCAACACCGCCCAACAATGTGCTTCGATGGGGTCACGTCAATCGCCAAAGAACGGCCACAAAAGGAAGAAAATAAAAGAAAACCCGTCACCGTTTCTTGCCAAATTCACATCCGCGCGACATTCGCGAGAAATGTCGCGCGCCGCCCTGGGTTTCTTGTTAGTTTGTGTCGCATCCGAAGCTTTTTGTTGAAAAATTAAAACGCCAACGCATCACGCGTGCCCATTCACCCTCGATCCCGTCACAATTTTCTGCCACTTTGAGGCCGTGCGCGCTTCTCCGCCAAAAGCCACCGCCGCTGACCACCCGGCAAGTCACCGGACACTTGGCGATGCATTCATTATTCACCAGACGAAGGGTTTACATTTGCACCTAAAACGGCAGTCGCCCGTCCACCCCCCTGCATGAACACATTCTCACGCACACATTCTCACGGCAGCGCTCGTCACAGCTGGCTTCTCTCCACGGCCCACGAAAATTAGCGAGCTAAGACGATAACGAAATAATCTCGCAAAAGCCACAAGAGGCCAGGGGCGCGTACGGAATCCTATCGGCTGTTCTTCCTACACACTCACACGCAAACACGAGGGTTGTGGTGTGTGAGTGTGTGGGGAGGTAGAGATCCCCCCTTCTTTGTCGCCACACCACCACACGGCATTCCATTCTCAGCACGACCTTTCAACTCGTGTCGCCATAGGGACGTTGACATCCCAAGAGGGCCCCCTTCTGTTTCTCTCTCTCTACACAACAACCCCAATCCGCCCCCCCCCCCCCCACACAGAGCTGATCACATTTCTTAATCGCTGCTCAACACAACGGGGATACTTTTTTGTCGTCGTCGTCGTCGTCGCAAACCAAACAACGCAAAAATATATCCGAGGGAAGCGTCGTGGGTTGCCCTTGTCCCTGGGAAAAAAAGGGGAAGCACTTTGCCACGGCGGGTCACGGTGGGTCACGGTGTGGGCTGGAGGGAATTCATGTGTCGTGTTATTTAGACGGCACTGCTACGCAAGCACGTGGGAAGGTGAAGTATGGTCGAATGACTGTGCCCCGCACCGTGACCTGAACAGTGCGAGGACACCCTCAGCCGGTTGGGGATTTAGAAAAAGGGGCGCACGTGTGGACAGTATACAGGCACACGTGTGTACTGTACACACGTACACAGTACACATGTGTACACAGTACTCATGTACACATGTGTACTGTACACATTACTCATGTACACGTGTGTACGTGTGTACTGTACAGTTACACAGTACACAATGCACACAGTACACACGTGTACATGTGTACTGTACACAGTACTCAGTACACAGTACACACGTGTACATGTGTACTGTACACAGTACTCATGTACACACGTACATGTGTACTGTACACACTACACAGTACACACTACACAGTACACATGTGTAGTGCGTACGTGTGTACATGAGTGTGTACGTGTGCACATTCCCATGGCAGGGTCCATGTACATCCATAGAATGCGCCTCCTTCCCCCGTTGACTTGCCAACGTTTGAGCACAATTTAGTTTGCGTGACAGGACGAAGACATGGGCACAAATCACACAAATCAAAAACTCAACACGTTCATCAACAACACTGCACCATGGAATCGTCGACGTGTAGGGGGGCAATGGGGGTCCGGTCTTCTTCACAGCAGAGAGAGAGAAGACTGCTGTTACTGCACGAACGAGTGGCTTTTTTAACAATGATGCACGAGCCAAGGATCAGTTCTGTATGGGTCAACAGCATAGGAAAATAAGCGGAAAGGATGGAGAAAGAACGGAGAAACAGAGGTTCAGGGTGGGGGGAGATGAGAGGGAGGAGAGGTCACACCAGGGCAGGGATGAATAAGAACCACTCAGCAGGATTAGAACTCGCAATGTCTCATCTCGAGTCTTCACAGACTGTAGGGGGAGCAAGTGCTGCTAGCTATGAAGGCCGGCACGGCACACGAGGGGGGTTTGGGTGGACAACACCACGCCCGGCCGCCTTTGTCTCCCTCGTGGTGTTGTCCGTATCGTTCCCCACACACATGCGTAGTGCCAGCAGCCTGCCTCCAGTATGTCTCTCTTACCTGCACTGCATTGTCTGCATTTCTATTGTTGCAACATTATTGTCTGCGAACGTATTTCGAAGTTGCATTGCAATCTCTTGCTTGGAAAGACGCTTACTGCGAATCAAATACCCCCGTTAGTTTTGCCACCTGAAGATGTAATTTGTGGCAGTATAAATAATAACCACAACTCGTTAGCCTTTCCCTCTCTACCTATCTGTGTGTATATCCATACATAAATGTGACTTAATTTAAGCATTAAATGTCTCAATCCACTGCCGGATGAGGGCCTCCTCATGCCACGTGGGTCGTTGTTGGACCATACTTCACCATGCCGGCCAGCGCTGAACGTTGAAGGCAAGGGAGCGGATATGGGAGCATAGAAGCAGGGTAGAGTACAACTATTGATTTTACAGCACGGGCCCTCTCAGTATCCCTGCCTCCGATAACAACCTGGCATGCATAGTGGTCACCAATTAGCTTCAAATCTGACGAGCTCGCGAACTTCAAGGGTGATTCGGTCACAGGCGGGGCTCCAGCCCGTGCTGTGTTCAAGCAATGTTCTGCGATGTGACCACGCCAACATACATCGCCACATCACTCAGACTTAGGCCAAGCCAAATTTAGATCAGAAACGTATCTAGGATGTGGCTTGTTTCATTGCGAAGCCACTTTGGGCCGTCAGGTCGAGACCATTAGCCGGCTACACTCGACAACGGTTTTAATGACTTTGTTGCTAAATCCTAGATTGGAATCCAATGGCTTGGCTCAGTGCTGCTGCCTCCCTAAGCCAGCAAAGTCTCATACAGTGCAACCTTAATTTGACAAGGGCACCCCCGGAGCTGCCCGAATCCGAACCGCCAGGTGAATAATTGAAATCGGAGAGGTCATACAGCCACCGGCATCCCTGGACTGCGAGTGATGCTTCGACTGCCCGAGACCGGCACGGAAACATTCCAGTCCAAACTCAAAAGTCCGGCTAATATTGACTCTGTGTGTGTGCGTGCACCCAAAGAAGGCATTCTAACCCGCAGATGGACCCTTATCTGACGGTGCTACCATCACATTTGTTAATACACAACTGGATTGTTCCGGTTAACCGGATGGGGGGTGACGCTCAGGTGAGAAGAGGCACAGGGCTTCGAGTTTAATAATAGATATTTTAATAAACTTTTTTAAAAACACGCTTTGAAGACTCACTCTCAAGGAAGTGGCCCCGAAGCTTGCCACAACGTAAGGGAGCGCGTGGGCAATAACAGCCAACGTTAGTTGACCGTGGACAATTGGACCCAAGCCAAAACATAACATATAAAAATTAATGTTTAAAAAAATATATTTTTTATGATAGAATATAGTATTGTCATCAGTATGACATAAGCATACCAAGGTTGCAGTCGATACCACATTGGGACGTGGGTTAAAATTGAGTTACAAGATTTGAGGATGCAACAACAACAACGACAACAGAGTGAGTTAATTAAAAGCATGTAATAATAAAAAGTCACATAGGGAAAAAAATGAAATAAATTTTTTTTACCAAATAAATTAAATCACGACGTTTCGGGCGCAACACAAGCGTCCGTCTTCAGGTAGCGACAACGTAGCGAAAGCACAACCGCTTAAGAGTATGGATCCTTGCAGTCACGAAAACTTCAAATCTAGAAATAATAAAAAGGTTAAAGCTGACAATGTCGTGATCAACTTCTCACCGAGGAGGATACAATAAGTACCACCCTGTGGTCCAGCACCACTTGGTTGGAAGTCAACATTGGCTGTCCGACGATAAGAATTGTCCTTAACACAGGAATGTGGAAGTTTGCACCGCTCAGGACCGCCAGTGAAAATCAACACTGCTCAACGCTCGTGACTCTGACCTTTTGGTTTCACTTTACCAGGACGTCACGCTCTGATAATCTACCGTTCGCCTGAATTGAATTTCTAATAATATAATTTCAACTTGTAACGCGCCACTGCGCAGTGTTCGCTCACTCTCAAGGAGAGAGAATAATATTCTTAGGTTTTTTCGGTAAAGTCATGTAGGTAAAAAATTAAAATTAATAAAAGTAAAATAAAAATAAACTAAAAATCACGACGTTTCGGAGGCAATACAAGCTTCCGTCTTCAGGTGGAACTGGACATGCGAGGGAGAAACAGTTCCACCTGAAGACGGAAGCTTGTGTTGCCTCCGAAACATTGTGATTTTTAGTTTATTTTTATTTTACTTTTATTAATTTTTATTTTTTACCTACGTGACTTTACCGAAAAAAACCTAAGAATATGAATCCTTGCAGTCACGAAAGCTTCAAATCGAGAGAGAATAACCCAGAGGCGAGAGTACGAGCCACAGGTGCATGGGAAGGCAGCAGCAGCAGCCACGCGGTGCTGTGCCAACGCAACCAACATCTGCCAAAGCTCTGCGGTCCTCTATATTTGAAGGTGTTTATCGGCCAATTAACGAGTACTTGAATGTGGGAGGAAACCGGAGCACCTGGAAAAAAAACCCACGCGTGCGAGGGAGAAACACTCGATCCCGTACAGACGAACAGGTGGAGTCCACATTTCTGCTGTTACCGCCTTCTCCTTGTGAGCCAGGGGAAGGGAGTTTCAACAAAATGCGAGATCCACCAATCCTCACCACGACAGTCCTGGATTACAGGCCACGTGCATAACCACCATCGCCCGGCGATTAGAGGCATGAAACACCACCCAGCTCACTAACACAGCGGTCATCCTAGGGGGGGGGGTGGTGGGGGAGCCTGTACCTTGACACAGGAATGTGGAATATCCATCGCTGGCTCAAGAACTGCAAAAAGCGTAGATGAGCAGACACGCCAATGCTTTTGGTTCTTAAGACACGGCGAATCTGAATAGCCGCGTGGTGGTTGTTGTTGTTAATCACGTCGATGATCATCATTAATGATAGTCACTATTGGACACGTGACAAATTACCCACGCGTTAAAGATTTAACCTCAGCGATTTAGAGTGCCCCATTAAGTAAACACTGTATCATATCTTCACTTGTGGCATCTTAATTCGTAGCATTAAAATGATCGACCGGTGTTACATCACGTGGTCGCTTCTGCAAAGTGTATAACACGACCCACGAGGGCCTATTTGAAAATCTCAAAGCTGAACGTGCAACACAAACTTTCCGTTGTTATTTTTATTCTTAATCAGCTCTCGGTGTTTACTGAAAAATGCATTGAGAACGCAGTCGTGAGTGTTATTTCGTAAGGCTGAAACCATCCGCTGCCATCACAATTAAATTCATTTCCACAAGTCAGTCATAATTGATTCCAAGAATGAATTCCTTGTGGCTGAAGGAGTCGCGTGAATTCATTACACACAACGTACACAAATCGAAACATAGATTACTTACACAGCTTACGAATAAATATCAATCGA